TCCTTAATATGAAATAATACTCATCATATAAATGAGATAACAATGCAATGGAAAACTAGAGAAAACCACATTTTCCTCTGATGCTACAGGCTCAAATGTGGCGTCACTTCTGGTCGCGTAGTGCAACAACGGACTCTCTGGTATGGCATGTGTGTGTGAGAGAGACAGAAAACAGTGATAAAAGAACATGAGAATTTTTTATTATTGAAAATAATGAGAATACTAGGTTTTTCATTTCATTCAACAGTCATGAATATATTAAAAAACCAAGTATATTAATTTATTTTTTAATAATAAAGCAATGGATATGACATGACAAGAAAAAATCATAAAAATACAAAAGAAATAAATGGTATCTTTCTGCAGCACAATCATGTCTTTCGCAGTGCACGTTCTGAAAGGTAAAACTCGAGTGTCCCGTTGAATAATTAAAAATACTGGTACGGGTCTTAATTACTCATATCGTGTTACTTTCACAGAATCAAAATCAAACAACGTGGCAACGACCGTGTTTTTGTTCATAAGAATTTATTAGCTGGGTCCTGTACAATCAATAATGTTTATGGAGGTTAGGAGTGGGCCAAATGAACTGTTTAGATTAAACATTAAACACTATCATTTTATGGTATAGTTTTAAAAATTTCAACCCTCTAAAATTATAATTTATTTACCTACTCATTAATTTAAAAACGGTTTTGTTTTCTATTTTTTATTTATTTAAAAGATTTTGACTACTTGACAAACTTTAGTTGAGATTATTAATTTTCATTTGGAGTCAACTTTAATAAATTTAACCGATTTTCAATCAAATTTGATTGGATTGAATTTGATTATTTTTCAGTCAGAACTCACTAGATTAAATTGGATCAAAATTTCGTCTAGACTAATTTGATTGAATTTTAATCATAATCTATTTGACTAAATTTTAATTGGGATTGACTCATCAAGACTCACTCAAGTGAATTTTAATCAAAACCAAAACGAAATTTTAACTGTGATCATTCCAACTGATTTTCAGTTAGAATCAACTAGATTGAATTCAGCCAAATTTCATTTCATTGATTTTCAGTTAGATCATCTCAGCCGAATTTCGATATTTTGATCATGGCTATCTCAGCTAATTTTCAATGGTAGTCGTTATGGTCGGATTTAACCGATTTTTGACCGAGACATAATCATTTATCAGGTTGAATGTTAAATTTCAATATGGACCCATCTCAACTTTTGGTCCAATTTCCTTTTACCCACCTCGGTTGTTCCAACCTTTGGTATGACTTCTCTAACATTTTCTCAATGGTTAAACTCATCTCAACTTTTATCTTAATCTAATTCATTTCAAACTGTGACTCAATCTCTCTCTATCTTCAATCTACTCGACCTAGGTCCGGTCTGACTTATTTATCATTTTACTCTGACTCATCTCAAAATTTGGATCAGATTGCCTTGTCTCAACCGACTTTATTCATCTCAATATTTGACCTATTATGAAGTTTGTGTTTATCAAAATAGAAAACAAATTTTTGTATAGTTTAATACAAAACTGGTAAAAAAAGAAACATACTATTTTTTTTATTTTAGTGTTGTGTACAGTTATTTTGGGCACCACAAATATGGCACAAAGTAAATTAAATGATACGTAGACCTAATAATGATACGAGGAAGTTCAGATGAAACGAATAATGAATGAAAAAGGAAGAAAGTGATAGTAGGAACTTACAAGAAAACTGAAACCAGAGACCGCTGCTAAGGAATTGGCTAAGGCGGCGCTAGAGAGATAGAGTTCACCCAAGTGACCAACTATCATGGTTGCCACAATTTGCAGCAAATATTGGGATGAAACCACAGCCACCATAGGCCCTGCTATAACACTTATCCTTCTCATTTCTTCACTGAAACCACTCCATGTCACTCTTTTTTCTTCTCTTTCTTCTTCCTGCTTCTGTATCAGACTTTCCTCCATGCTTTTCAATCCTCAAAAGGGTTGGAGAGAGCGAGAGAGACGTGGGACGAAAAGAAACCAGACTTTTCCTTTGTTTTCTTTACCTCATTTCAATTTTATAAAACACCAGTCTTTGCTNATAATGAATGAAAAAGGAAGAAAGTGATAGTAGGAACTTACAAGAAGACTGAAACCAGAGACCCCTGCTAAGGAAATGGCTAAGGCGGCGCTAGAGAGATAGAGTTCACCCAAGTGACCAACTATCATGGTTGCCACAATTTGCAGCAAAAATTGAGAAGAAACCACAGCCACCATAGGCCCTGCTATAACACTTATCCTTCTCATTTCTTCACTGAAACCACTCCATGTCACTCTTTTTTCTTCTCTTTCTTCTTCCTGCTTCTGTATCAGACTTTCCTCCATGCTTTTCAATCCTCAAAAGGGTTGGAGAGAGCGAGAGAGACGTGGGACGAAAAGAAACCAGACTTTTCCTTTGTTTTCTTTACCTCATTTCAATTTTATAAAACACCAGTCTTTGCTCAGTCTAAAATCAGTTTCTACTTTTATAAACTAAATTATCTTCCAATATAATTTTCTTCTTGTCGTATTTATTTGTTTTACTTAAGATTTTCTCAAATTTTGTTTACATTTCCTTTTCTCTTCCATTCTTTTCTCTCACTATAACTTACAATTCTTTTATAAATAAAAATGTTTTCTCTCAGCATTTGGTACCAGCGTCAGTTAACTCTTGTATATAATTAAATTCAAATAGTGAGACATAGATTTACTTAAAATAAAAATGAATATAAAAGAATAAAATCATTTAAAGATTTGTTAATTTATTAAAATTCTTAAAGGAATTTGATTTTTTTTTTAAATTCGAAAATAAATTGACCTTTTATTCTATTTTCCTACTATCATATTTCTTACTTTTTTATTTAGTTAGTGATATTCGTGACAGTAGAGATGGTTGAAAGTCTGAGTGCACATGTGCTGACTCTTCCAAACCAGGGCTAAAACAACCCATTTGTTAATATTATCTTGTCGTTTTTGTAATCAATACTATTTATTCTTATTAACCTAATTTAGAAAACTAATTATAAAAAGTTGCCTTTTCCTCTTTTCATGGCTCCACCGCAGCTTTAAATGGTAGAAAACTCGTAGAACTTGTATTAAGTTCTGGCTTTCATTTCATTTGATTTTCAATTAAATATATATATTAAATGTTTTACTTTGTAGTTGATTTTACAAAGACTTTGTTATACAATGAATCTAACATTAAGAAAATGTATTATTGGAACAAAGGCAATTTCGTCTCTAATTAGTGTATAAAAGGTGTATGTGTTGGATTTTGCTTCTTCCATGAGAAGTGAGAAGGAGGATGGCCACCACATTTTGCCTTCTCGTTTGTCTTTGACTCTTCTGCTTATCATTTTCTCTGTTCGTTTACAATCACAAAAAAAAAACAACGAAGATAAAAATAAGAAAACAATAATAATAATGATAATGATAATAATAATAATTAATTAATTAAAAATACCATTTAGATCTGACTGCTGTTTTGTCTTGTTATGTGTTGATTTGCTCCACAACTTAGTATATCTCCTAATGCTAAGAAAAAAATTTGTTGAATAGACTCAATTATATTGCTTGTGATAGAAGGGTCTTTTATTTGTGAATGTTTTTTTTTTTTTCAATTTTGACTTTGTCGATATTGTTTAGTCTTTAATGTGTGTGTGATTGTTTGGACTTTAATTAGTATTTGGTCTGTGTTGGCTTCTTATTGTTAGTAATCATTCAATCATTTTGTTGTGTCTGTTACGGTTGCTTTGACTGACTATATATTGTAGTCTGTCTTTGGGGTTTAAAATAGTTTTCAAAATCTCGAAGTATTATTCAGATATTTTTTTCTCTGTCTTTTACTCTCTTGTTCTTTCCTCTTTACATTTGGATTTTCTGTTTTTCATTTTCCACCAACATAATTACTCAATAGTTTCAACGGAAATGTTTCATGGATTATTATAAGATCATTTATATAATTTATTACTTATTTAATATATTTTTAACTAATTTAATCCATCTTATTTTTTTTTTAAATCTATGCATAGATTAATAGATTCATGAACCTCCCCCTGCAGTGACAACTAATGAACCATTACAGAATTGAAAGCCATTTAAACGTTTTTATTGAAGGCAAAGTAAAAATACTTATTTAACCAACTAAATGACGAATAGAATAATTGTTCCTTTTGGTACCGCACTCCACGTAGAACGGGTCTAATTACCTTTTCCTCAGAATTTCCCTTAATAGTTTGGATCTTTAACATCTTCACTGATAAAATTCAGTATTATTCTTGGAAAACCTATATTTTTTAAGAATAATGATATATAACATATTTTTACATTCATTTAAAATAATAAAAAATTATAAACTATTGTAAAGAGAATAAAACTAATGGTAATATCAAATAAAACGTAAAATATTATGTGTTAAAGAATCTTTATTCGATTATCCATATGCATATCAATTCTGCTCAGCCAAAAGGGAAAACTCACCATTCAAAATCTTATCTTTATAAGCGTTGCCGTATCACACCCTCCGCCACCGCAAAACCACCACCGGGGACGGAACTGCCTTTGAAAAGAACGCACCACATGCCACAAAACCTCGTTTCCGTCCCTCTGCTATTTCTTGTCTTCACATCTCACTTCCGTTTATTTCTTTCTTGTTTACTTATATTATGTTTACTGAGTCAACTTGCCACGTCAAATTCACCTTCATCTTAAAGTAATTATTTTTTCCACGTACTAGCGTCGCAGAGGTCTTTTGCCACGTTCGAGTGTACATTTATCATCACTCATATAATTAAGCTTTCATGAAAATGTATGTGGGAGAAACAATGGATGTAAAATCCGAATGCATTCAACTTGAGTAGAAAGACGCAATAGATCAGAATGACAAGAACCCAACAAGTGCATGTTATGCCAGCTTATTCTACAGCGTGACCTGTAAAATATCTTTTTATACGAGTTTTCCGCAGAACCTATCTGTCTTCACATGTCCACCAGAATTTGCCAAATATAGAAAATGACATTGTCAAATTCATACATACTTCCGGAAAACAAGAGTTGGGGCGTGAATTCCATGTATCTCTCGGTCTTTCAAGCAATGAACTATACATTCGGCCATTAAGAAACTACCAGATTAATGGGATGGAAAAAAAAACCAAATTTTGCAGAATGCATGCATGCTCTGTAGGATAAGACAACCTCGGTACAAGTAACCTAATTAACAACATGGTTGACATGTGCTATGACCTTTTCACATACAAAAGGATACTATTTCAAATATTGGAGGCTATAATGGGTAGGGATATCTTTGCTTAATCTTGACAACTAATCCCTCTGCCTCCTATGTGATCGTGGAGAACGTGATCTTCCTCGCCGGTCCCTTGAATAACTATCCTCCTTTTGTATCGGTGTCTGACTACGAGATCGATCCCTTGAAAAACGATATCTATCCTCCTTTCTTACAGGTGACAGACTACGAGATCGGTCCCTTGAATAACGATGTTTATCCCGCTGTTGCCTAGGTGAATGACTAAGAGTTTGTCTCCCTCTCGGTTCTGCGTATGTTTATCACAACAAGTCAATCACCAATAGAACAATGACAACATTGTTCTGATTCAAAAATAAGTTGCACAAATGTAGAAAGGAAAATCTACCCAAAAGGTTCAAGCGTTAAAGGGGAAAAAATTGACAATAGAACATAATAGTGGTTTTAAGTTTGAACTAAATATTCTTGTTTTTATAAAACAATAATTGGATTTTTTAGATCAAATCAAGTGTGAAGACATTAGGTTATGGTAGAATTGCAAAAGTACAAGAAAGATAAGCCTCCAAGTTACCATGGTCGTATCTTGTACCACTGTACTTGCCAGGAGTTGGAGTCCTGGGACACTGTCTCATTGACTGCAAAAGATATGCAAATAAGATAACGACAGGTAGGACATTTGGAACATACTGATACAAGATTACAACATACTAATATACTATTGTTTGAAGCATTTGGCAGTTCAATAAATCAACTTCACACAACCCTTCACAATAAAGACATAACCAACCAGATGGGGAATTCGACGAAGCTACACGGAGAAAACCTGCTGCCAAAACTTATCAGGGAATGTTTCTCGGAAAGTAGAAATTTCGGGTGGGGATGGGGCGTCTAGAAGGGAATGAGTAATAGGAAAAATTTGTACAAAAATAATTTTTGGTTATACTCATTCTGAAACCAGTAGCTAAATATTACCCTTTCCACAACTATCACCCGATCAAATTGAACCGTGTGATCGAATTCCTTGATACAGCGCTCAGCGTCATCTGTAGTTGCCATAGTGACAAAAGCAAATCCACGAGATTCCTTGGTGTGAAAATCTCTCACCAAGTGGCTGTCGACAACCTGAAAAGAAAAAGCGATGATTCAATCAATATTATGCATAGCCTTCGCCATAAGTAACAAAGGATATCTTAAAACATTAGAGACACACATAATCTGATATGTTGAAACAAATATCAATGCAACACGCAACAAAATCATCTCATAACGAGTCACAGAACGTGTTTTCAACTTCATATATATAGTTCCACAAATCAGACTATTGTAATTAAGGTAGCATGGATCATAGCTCTTTATCTCCGTAATTCACTTAATAATCTACCCATCTTAGAAAAAAATCAAGGCTTTATTATGCATAATGCCTTCCAGTATAAGCCGCACTGATTGAAGTCAAGCTAGTTATACACAACCATTTGTAAAGTGCGGTTCAAAAATAGGGAGGGGTACGTCCCTCATAAGAATACTCTCATATCTATCATTAATTGCATATTAATCCATAAAAGTTAAGGCAAGGTCAAAATAGGACATGTACGTTTACACATATAGAATGCATAGCCACTTTTTTTATTTGTTGCCAATTGAAAATGAGTGAAAATTTCATTTCAGCATTCCTTGGTCCAGATGCATCATTTAAACTCAATTCAACTTTAGAAATCAAGATTTAAATTTAAGCCCTGTTCATATAACAAGGTCATAACCACTTAAGAAAAAAGAAAAAATGAGAAGGAAATATATATATATATATATATATATATATATATATATGTATATATGTATGTATGTATGTATGTATAAGTTGTAATCTACTTTCCTAATAAGCTAAAATTGTGAAGTTAATTAAAAAAATTGATTTTAAATTATGGATGAGCTAATTTTGATTACTTTTCTTCTTCTTTTTTCTTTTTTTTTATAAAGCCTCTGCAATAGAATGCATGCTGTGAGAAGACTGAATGCTATACACATCATCAAATCATAAAGGAATGAAATTGAAATCATGACTAACATATAGTAAATTCATACATACCTCTCCCNGTTTATTTCTTTCTTGTTTACTTATATTATGTTTACTGAGTCAACTTGCCACGTCAAATTCACCTTCATCTTAAAGTAATTATTTTTTCCACGTACTAGCGTCGCAGAGGTCTTTTGCCACGTTCGAGTGTACATTTATCATCACTCATATAATTAAGCTTTCATGAAAATGTATGTGGGAGAAACAATGGATGTAAAATCCGAATGCATTCAACTTGAGTAGAAAGACGCAATAGATCAGAATGACAAGAACCCAACAAGTGCATGTTATGCCAGCTTATTCTACAGCGTGACCTGTAAAATATCTTTTTATACGAGTTTTCCGCAGAACCTATCTGTCTTCACATGTCCACCAGAATTTGCCAAATATAGAAAATGACATTGTCAAATTCATACATACTTCCGGAAAACAAGAGTTGGGGCGTGAATTCCATGTATCTCTCGGTCTTTCAAGCAATGAACTATACATTCGGCCATTAAGAAACTACCAGATTAATGGGATGGAAAAAAAAACCAAATTTTGCAGAATGCATGCATGCTCTGTAGGATAAGACAACCTCGGTACAAGTAACCTAATTAACAACATGGTTGACATGTGCTATGACCTTTTCACATACAAAAGGATACTATTTCAAATATTGGAGGCTATAATGGGTAGGGATATCTTTGCTTAATCTTGACAACTAATCCCTCTGCCTCCTATGTGATCGTGGAGAACGTGATCTTCCTCGCCGGTCCCTTGAATAACTATCCTCCTTTTGTATCGGTGTCTGACTACGAGATCGATCCCTTGAAAAACGATATCTATCCTCCTTTCTTACAGGTGACAGACTACGAGATCGGTCCCTTGAATAACGATGTTTATCCCGCTGTTGCCTAGGTGAATGACTAAGAGTTTGTCTCCCTCTCGGTTCTGCGTATGTTTATCACAACAAGTCAATCACCAATAGAACAATGACAACATTGTTCTGATTCAAAAATAAGTTGCACAAATGTAGAAAGGAAAATCTACCCAAAAGGTTCAAGCGTTAAAGGGGAAAAAATTGACAATAGAACATAATAGTGGTTTTAAGTTTGAACTAAATATTCTTGTTTTTATAAAACAATAATTGGATTTTTTAGATCAAATCAAGTGTGAAGACATTAGGTTATGGTAGAATTGCAAAAGTACAAGAAAGATAAGCCTCCAAGTTACCATGGTCGTATCTTGTACCACTGTACTTGCCAGGAGTTGGAGTCCTGGGACACTGTCTCATTGACTGCAAAAGATATGCAAATAAGATAACGACAGGTAGGACATTTGGAACATACTGATACAAGATTACAACATACTAATATACTATTGTTTGAAGCATTTGGCAGTTCAATAAATCAACTTCACACAACCCTTCACAATAAAGACATAACCAACCAGATGGGGAATTCGACGAAGCTACACGGAGAAAACCTGCTGCCAAAACTTATCAGGGAATGTTTCTCGGAAAGTAGAAATTTCGGGTGGGGATGGGGCGTCTAGAAGGGAATGAGTAATAGGAAAAATTTGTACAAAAATAATTTTTGGTTATACTCATTCTGAAACCAGTAGCTAAATATTACCCTTTCCACAACTATCACCCGATCAAATTGAACCGTGTGATCGAATTCCTTGATACAGCGCTCAGCGTCATCTGTAGTTGCCATAGTGACAAAAGCAAATCCACGAGATTCCTTGGTGTGAAAATCTCTCACCAAGTGGCTGTCGACAACCTGAAAAGTAAAAGCGATGATTCAATCAATATTATGCATAGTCTTCGCCATAAGTAACAAAGGATATCTTAAAACATTAGAGACACACATAATCTGATATGTTGAAACAAATATCAATGCAACACGCAACAAAATCATCTCATAACGAGTCACAGAATGTGTTTTCAACTTCATATATATAGTTCCACAAATCAGACTATTGTAATTAAGGTAGCATGGATCATAGCTCTTTATCTCCGTAATTCACTTAATAATCTACCCATCTTAGAAAAAAATCAAGGCTTTATTATGCATAATGCCTTCCAGTATAAGCCGCACTGATTGAAGTCAAGCTAGTTATACACAACCATTTGTAAAGTGCGGTTCAAAAATAGGGAGGGGTACGTCCCTCATAAGAATACTCTCATATCTATCATTAATTGCATATTAATCCATAAAAGTTAAGGCAAGGTCAAAATAGGACATGTACGTTTACACATATAGAATGCATAGCCACTTTTTTTATTTGTTGCCAATTGAAAATGAGTGAAAATTTCATTTCAGCATTCCTTGGTCCAGATGCATCATTTAAACTCAATTCAACTTTAGAAATCAAGATTTAAATTTAAGCCCTGTTCATATAACAAGGTCATAACCACTTAAGAAAAAAGAAAAAATGAGAAGGAAATATATATATATATATATATATATATATATATATAT